TTGGGTATTCGTTTTGAATAGAGGGGCGCGGTCGCGTCCTCCTCCGGCCCCCCCCTGTGGTCGCCGTCCCTGGAGGGCTGCGATCTGCGAAACTGTCGCCATTTCGACGGCTGCTGGCGGGTCCTGCGGAGAAAGGCACCGCGCGGATCTGAGCAAGACCTCGCCGTGCCTGGGGGGCTGCGATCTGCGAAACTGCCGCCACTTTCGAAGGCTGCTGGTGGGTCCTGCGGAGCGAGGCACCGCGCGGATCCGAGCGAGACCTAGCCGTGCATGGGGGGCTGCGATCTGCGAAACTCTCGCCACATTCGAGAGGGCTGCTGGTGGGTCCTGCGGAGTGAGGCACCGCGCGGATCCGAGCCAGACCTCGCCGTGCCTGGGGGGCTGCGATCTGCGAAACTGTCGCCACTTTCGACGGCTGCCGGCGGGTCCTGCGGAGTGAGGCACCGCGCGGACCTGAGCAAGACCTCGCCGTGCCGGGGGGGCTGCGATCTGCGAAACTGTCGCCGCATTCGAGAGGGCTGCTGGTGGGTCCTGCGGAGTGAGGCACCGCGCGGATCCGAGCCAGACCTCGCCGTGCCTGGGGGGCTGCGATCTGCGAAACTGTCGCCATTTCGACGGCTGCCGGCGGGCCCTGCGGAGTGAGGCACCGCGCGGATCCGAGCAAGACCTCGCCGTGCCGGGGGGGCTGCGATCTGCGAAACTGTCGCCACTTTCGACGGCTGCTGGCGGGTCCAGCGGAGTGGGGCACCGCGCGGACGCGAGCAAGACCTCGCCGTGCCTGGGGGGCTGCGATCTGCGAAACTGCCGCCACTTTCGACGGCTGCTGGGTCCTGCGGAGTGAAGCACCGCGCGGATCTGAGCAAGACCTCGCCGTGCCTGGGGGGCTGCGATCTGCGAAACCGTCGCCACTTTCGAAGGCTGCTGGTGGGTCCTGGGGGGTGAAGCACCGCGCGGGTCTGAGCAAGACCTCGCCGTGCCTGCGGGGCTGCGATCTGCGAAACTGTCGCCGCTTTCGAGGGCTGCTGGCGGGCGCCGCGCGGATCCGAGCAAGACCTCGCCGTGCCTGGGGGGCTGCGATCCGCGAAACAGTCGCCACTTTCGAGGGCTGCTGGTGGGCCTGCGGGGTGAGGCACCGCGCGGATCTGAGCAAGACCTCGCCGTGCCTGTGGGGCTGCGATCGGCGGCGAAACTGCCGCCACTTTCGAAGTCTGCTGGCGGGTCCTGCGGGGTGAGGCGCCGCGCGGATCTGAACAAGACCTCGCCGTGCCTGGGGGGCTGCGATCTGCGAAACTGTCGCCACTTTCGAGAGGGTTGCTGGTGGGTCCAGCGGGGTGGGTCACCACGCGGATCCAAACAAGACCTCGCCGTGCCTGCGGGGCTGCGATCTGTGAAACTGTCGGCACTTTCGAAGGCTGCCGGCGGGTCCTGGGGAGTGAAGCACCGCGCGGATCTGAGCAAGACCTCGCCGTGCCTGGGGGGCTGCGATCTGTGAAACTGTCGCCACTTTCGAAGGCTGCTGGCGGGTCCTGGGGAGTGAAGCACCACGCGGATCTGAGCAAGACCTCGCCGTGCCTGGGGGGCTGCGACCTGCGAAACTGCCGCCACTTTCGAGGGCTGCTTGGACGGCCAGCATAGCGATCCGCGGAACTGTCGCCACTTTCGAAGGCTGCTGGTGGGTCCTGCGGAGTGAGGCGCCGCGCGGATCTGAGCAAGACCTCGCCGTGCCTTGGGGGGCGCGATCTGCGGAACTGTCGCCACTTTCGAAGGCTGCTGGTGGGTCATGCGGAGTGAAGCGCTGCGCGGATCTGAGCAAGACCTCGCCGTGCCTGCGGGGCTGCGATCTGCGAAACTGTCGCCACTTTCGAGGGCTGCTGGTGGGTCCAGCGGTGTGAGTCACCACGCGGATCTGAGCAAGACCTCGCCGTGCCTGGGGGGGGCTGCGATCTGCGAACCTGTCGCCACTTTCGAGGGCTGCTTGGGCGGCCAGCATAGCGATCTGCGGAACTGTCGCCACGTTCGAGGGCTGCTGGTGGGCCCAGCGGAATGAGGCACCTCGCAGATCTGAGCGGGACCTCGCCGTCCCTGGGGGGCTGCGATCTGCGAGCCTGTCGCCACTTTCGAGGGTTGCTGGTGGGTCCTGCGGAGTGAGGCGCCGCGCAGATCTGAGCGGGACCTCGCCGTGCCTGGGGGGCTGCGATCTGCGAAATTGTCCCCACTTTCGAGGGCTGCTGGTGGGCCCAGCGGAGTGAAGCACCGCGCGGATCTGAGCGGGGCCTCGCCGTCCTTGGGGGGATGCGATCTGCGAAACCGTCGCAACTTTCGAAGGATGGTGGCGGGTTCAGCGGAGCGAGGCACCAGGCAGATCTGAGCGAAACATCGCAATCCTTGGGGGGCTGCGAGCCTCACGAATGCTGCTCGTAGAAATATGTGCGCCCATGTCACGTCATCAACTCCGTACAACGCCTCCCAAGCTACTTATGCACTTATGCCCCGCATTGCGCAGGGGCTGGGTACGTCGCCAGGGTAATTAAAAGGAGTTCTTACTATGGGTCCGCTACCGAAAACCAACAAAACAATACGAACGCAAATGGGGGGGATTCGAACTCGGAACCCAAAGCTCCGCCTGGGCGGCAAAAGACTCCAAGCAATAATATTGCATCATTACCCTGACGAAGGACGGAACCATATGCGGGTGCGAGCACCGCACATGGGACGAACGAGGGGCAGCTCCCTTTGGGGCCACCAAGCGTGTGAGGGGTGGTGCCGATTTGGGTGCGGGTACGCCATTCGAACGCAACCACTGGGGCCTTCGGTGGAGATCCTTGTGGAGCAACGAAACGTGTGAGGCGTGCGCCGAAATGTGGGGTGGAACCGCATGCGAACCCTGCCACTGGGGCCTTCGGTGGAGTCCCCTCAGAGGCCGGGAAAAATGTGAGAGGTGCGCCAACATGGGGGGCGGAACTGCGTGCGGACCCGGCCACTGGGGCCTTCGGTGGAGCTCCCTACAAGACCACGAAACTTGTGAAGGGTGCGCCGAGATAGAGGGTGGAACTTCATGCGGACCCAGCCACTGGGGCCTTCGATTGAGCTCCCTACGGGGCCACGAAGCGTGTGAGGGGTGTGCTGGCATGCGGACCCTGCCACTAGGGCCTTAGGTGGAGCTCCCTATGGGGCCACGAATCATGTGAGGGCCGCGCTGAGATGATGGGTGGAAATTCATGCGGACCCTGCCACTAGGGCCTTCGGTGTAATTCCATATGGAGCCACGCAAAATGTGAAGGGTGTACCGAAGTGCTGGACATGCGGAGGGCACAGGCAGGGATGGGGGGAGCAGGGAGGAAGGGCAGCGGGATGAGGAGGAGGTGGGACTCGGGGCGGCGTCTTTTCAAGACGAGACCCCAACACCACAGGATGGCTGGGAATAACTAAGGGAACCGTTTACTGCAACGTACACACGGTGACCATACGGAAGAGCATACGGGACAACACGAACAGGAGAACATACGGGAGAGCACACCAGAAAACTTACGGGAACCACTGATTGCAAAATCTCCGTGCGACGAGCTCCCCCCTGGGGTGGGTGAGCGCCAGGCCCGCCTTGCTCAACGAACTCAACAACGCCGGAGGCAAATCTTGCAAGCGGCGCCAACCGACAAGCAAGCGCGCCGACAAGAACCAAAGCGTCGAGTTGTGTACCATCCGGTTCAGGCACGTTCGGAGGACAGCTGCGCGGAGGCCTCCTGGTCCTGCCCGCTCGCCTCGCGCCTGGCTCGTCGGACCGCAGCCATTTGGGCTCTTCCCTGGGCTCGGCGCGGCGGGCAAGGGCCCCTCTCGCTCGCGCCCCACACCGCCGCGCCCCTCGGGTGGCAGCGCATTTGAAGCGCGCCGCGGGGCGGCACAGCGAAACAGGCGGGCTGCGTTCGGGGCGAGTCGCTTGGGAAGAGTCTGCATCACACTCCGGCAGGCCATCACGCGCGAGCTCTCCAAACGACCCGAACCTGACTGTCTTCGCTTCCGCCGAAGGTTCCGGTGACACTCTCGGAGCCGCAGCTGCTGCTGGAGAAACCGAGCGGTAGCAGATTGAGGCCTTGTGCGCGCATATCGCCACCGTCCTGCTACGGTCGGCCAGTGGGTAGATCCTGTGGAAGCTTCAATTGCGCGGGGCGACGCTATGCGCACGCGTCCACTGGGACTGAAGGTGGAATTCCGTATGGGCCTCAATCCGCGTGAGAGGTGTGCCAACATTGGCGGGGCGACGTTATGCGAACGCGCCCAGTGGGGCCGTAGGTGGAGCTCCCCATGAGGCAAGATCCACGTGAGGGGTGTGCCGAACTGGGCAGGGCGACGCTATGTGATCGCGCAAACTGGGGCCGTAGGTGGTGTTCACTATGGGGCACGATTCGTGCGAGGGTTGTGCCGACTTGTGCGCAGCGCAGCAGCAGGAGAAGTGGAAGGGGAGGGAGAGGCGAAGAGAAGGAGAGGCGATAGGAGAATCATGAGGTACGCGGGCAGCGGAGAGAAAACCAGGACCCACCACCATAGGATAATGTTTGATCAAGCTGCATACAGCGTGAACGAACGAGTTAAATCGGGCGGACCATGCTCATCCTCCGCTCCCAGCCCAACCAGAACATGGAGAAGTGGAGTATGGGAAAGGCAAAGTGGTACCACAATCGATTCCACGTAGGGAACTGAGTAAGAGGGCCATTGTACAATCAGGACAACCGTAACGGCAAGCGACAGGCTCAGAGCCTTAACTCGACGGCTGGTCATCCACCCTCCGCCAGGGTCTTGATACGGGCTCGGGGTAATGAGAATAGGCAAGAATACATCGCAAGACTAACCAGCCCTTTGCGCCCCTGGGAGGGGATCTCAGCTCGGTCGGGCGCCAGCTCCTGGCTTCGGCCATCGAGAGAGGTGGACGACGCCGACAGCCCAGAGGGCTCCGGTCTCAGCGAGGAGAGCCCTTGGCCTCAGGGAGGGCAGCGGCGGGCCCTGGCCTGGCGCCGCAGCAACTGCAGCTCCTCTGGCCGCAGGTGGGCGGCGCGCTCCAGGCGGCCGCAGGAGACGCCTGGCTGGCGCGGAACGACGGTCAACGGCAGGCAGGTCGGGCCCCCTCTCATGCTCCCCCGCGATGTGGCTCACCGGGCGTCCTTCCTCCCGTAGATGCCCTCGTCACTGGCAGCCCTCGGTCCTCATCGACATCATCATCCTCCCCTCCTTTGCTATTGAGGTCGCGGCCGCTGTGGTCGAAATGATCTCGTCGCTTTGTGCCGTCGTCGTTGTGGTCGTCCTCGTCCTCGTCCAGTAGTATTGGTCGCCGCCGCGGCAATCGTCTTCCTCCTCTTGACACAGGCCGCAACCCCATTATCAATTGAAACAAGCCGACGCCACAATATCCAATAGCGGTCGACGACGCCCGTTCAACTGACACGCCTGTCGCGCACGGCACGCGCACGGCATGCGCAACGGCTTCGGGCAGATCCGTGCACTCGCTATCCCTGCCGCACGCCTCTCCACCGAGCACAATCGAACATAGCTAAGGCTCTGGGGGCGTACCTGTTTCGTTCTTCACTCAGGTGAAAGCACGGCGTGCACACCAATCACGGTTGAAGCAACAACTGCCAGGATGGTGCGGCCGCTGCTGATGCCTGCGTCGTCACCCCCCCGCCCGCTTAGCTTGAATTCCATCCCGTCTGCTGCACTCTGTCAGTTCAGAACAAATCGTTCACCCTCTTCCCACCCCTTTTCCACCTATGCGTCCAATCTCCATCGCGTTTGAAACAGATATACCCAGATGTTGGCGACCCTTCGACGGCTTCACTTGTTCGAGCCATCTGCTCTGCTCCTGATGCGGGCTGCCGAAAATAATAATGAGGTGGATCCACGCGGGGGACGCGTGAACGTGACCCCTTAGCCAAGACGCGGCCACGTTTGTAAGATGGTGGGGTGCGATCTTTATCTGCAGCTGCGGTGGCCATCTCCGCCACTCAAAACGGCGGTTCACCCTTTGTCCCACTCCCCCTCGCGCTCCCACTTCAATTTCCCGTGGCGTTCCGCAACAGAAGAGGGCAGACGAGAACAAGGAAGCGGAAGCACTCCTCCTTTTCGACCTAATCCCGCTGCTTCTCACCAAGTTCGACTGAATTCTTGAATCTGAAGGTGACTCTTAGAAAGTCGTTTTCCACCTCCCCTTTTTTCGTCAACGCATCGTCATCGCCATCGTCATCATCAACCGCATCATCATAGTTATCTTCACCGTCAGCATCACCATACTCAGCATCACCATCATCACAGCATCAGCATCACCCTCGTCGTCGTCATGATCACCATCATCACCACCGACATCGCCATCATCATCCACATCCTACTCGTCATCGTCGTCATCAGCAGCATCAGCACCAGCATGGCCATCAGCATCCACACTCGCATCAGCACCGACATCACAATTGCCACCACGACCAAAAACAACATTACCACCACCATTATCAGTATCACCAACATCGTCATCACCATCGCCATCATCAACATCATCCTCATCATCATACTCAAACTCGCACTCATGATCAAACGCATCATCATCATCAGCATCAGCATCAGCATCAGCATCAGCATCAGCATCATCATCATCATCATCATCATCATCATCATCATCATCATCATCATAATCATCATCATCATCATCATCATCATGATCACCAGCACCGCGTCATCATCATCAGCAGCAGCAGCACCACCATCATCATCGCTGGCGAGCGTGATCGTGATCGCGATCGTCGTTGGCCCCTTCGCTGTCGTACGCGGCCCGGTTGCTACACTAAGTGGCCCCGTCGTGGCCCTCTGTGGCCCCGCATTATCTGCCCTTCGTGGCCCCCGCTCGTTCGCGCCCTTCGTGGCCCCATACGCATGCCCTTCGTGGCCCCGCTGTCGCCCTTCGTGGCCCCTTTCCTGCGCTTCGTGGCCCCGCTGTCGCTCTCGCTCCCGCTCTCGCTGTCGCTCTCGCTTTCGCTCGTTGTCGTCGTCGCCGTCGTCGTCGTCGTCATCGTCGTCGTCGGTCGGTCCCCTGTCCGTCCCTCTTGGGGTCGGGCTGCCGCCAATCAACGCTACCGCTGGCCAGGCCGACGGTCCGCGGCCGCCCCGCCGCTTGCCGGCCAACCTTATCCTCCTCCTCCTCCTCCTCCTCCTCCTCCTCCTCCTCCTCCTCCTCACCAAGACCCACCGGGACGATTGAAAGAACACATTTTACTTGAGTCGACGGGGGGGCGGGGTTCCAGCGGAAAGTAGCGAGGATCCCCCCCTATCCCCCATCCTCGACCTCGTCCTCGCAACAGTCGGCGTGGCAGGCTGCACTGGCCATTCCCTCGGGGTAGCATGGGCAAGCGGCGAACGACGAGGGGGGAAGGGGAAGGGGAGGCGGAGGGAGAAGGAAATGGAAAGGGATAGGGGGGAAGGGGGAGGGGGGAGCGAGGGGAGGACCGGGGGAGGGAGGGGGTAGGGGATGGGTAGGGGGGGGGGAAGGCGGCACTGAGGGCGAAGGTTCTGGGCGGGGCGATGCCGCCGAACAGACCGTGCAATGGTGGTACGGAGCTGCCTCTGCCGGGCAAGAGTGGCTCGTCCACCGTGTGCTCGGCGGGCTGCCGGAGCCTCTCTTCAGACACGAGGAGAGAGGTAGGGATAGGAGGAGCAGTGGGGAGGAGGGGAGGACGAAGGAGGAGGGGGAACGGAGGCGAGGGAAGAGGCATATGTGAAAAGCAAGAGGGACAGGTCACGAGACGGAAAACAGAGACAGCTGGAGAAGGTTCGAAACGCCAAATTGATCACAGCTACGACTCCGTCTTCCCGTTACCGTGGAATGTCTCTTCAAATATGTCGGCAAGGTCTCCCATCGAATTGAACATCACATTCCCTGCTCCTCTTCAAGGTCCCCCCACAGGGAAGCGGGCCGTGAGCCTGGCCAGCCCGGGCAGGGCGTGGGCCGCAAGCGACTCCCAGGCGTCGAAGTCGCTCCCCGCCTGGGGCCGCGTGCGGCTGCCGGTCGCGGACTGCTCCGTTGCTTACGTCGCGGCCGAGTCTGAAGAGCTCCTATGCTGCCCCGCGCAAGCAATACTCCAAGGGGTCCGAAACATCGGGGTGGACCGAAGGCCGGCTGCAGCACCAGCATGTTGGGCCCACTGAAACGCTCAAGGGGGGATCTCTCACGGGTGGCACTACTGGTGACCGAGATTGGAAACAAGATCGAGGCGCACAGGATGAGCGGTGGGACGAGCCGGAAGGTCGGTGAAACTGGGGGGAAGCAGGAGGGCACAAAGTGGCGGGGCAGGAAGAGAACGCCGTTGAAATGGAGGGGGCGGGATAGAGCTTGGATGAGGGACGGAGGAGTCGAAGCAATGGCACCAGAACTGAGACTCCAAGCACGTTCTGCTTGTGAATCGTTCACGATGGTAGCACAACTACTGCCATCACCGCTACTGCAAACGGTACTGATATTGGTACCGTGATTGCTGATGCTACAGTCTTATCAAGGCCGCTCATCACCTTCGCTCCCGCTCGGCCGCGCGTGCGCAGACTGGTCACCCCAGACAATGCAGAAGCGGTGCCCGTACTCGTGCAGATGGAGGTGACCTGCATAGCGTTGCCAAGAGGGCGAGCACGGAAGGTAGGAAAAAGTGGTGTGGTGGCAAAGATGAGCCCAGCACAACGCCCTGTTTCCTTCCGACTGCACGTCGATCTGAGAGACTGGGTCGACCAGCGCACCACATGCGCAATCTTCTGAGCTGGCTGGCAAGGAGGAGGATGAGGAGGCGGCACGGCGACAGATGTTGTCCTTGCGAATTTGGGGCTGCACCAGATACACGCTGCGCCAATCCTCCGAGGCAGACGGTCAATGTCGCCGTCCGACAGGGCGCAACCCCGCAACATCGGGTCTTGTCGTTGACCCAGGTCGCTCCTCCTGCCTCCCATCCCTCATCTCTGCCACTTTGGTGCAGCTTCGGGAAAGGCACTCCTTTGCACAATCCCCTCCGCGCCGTCCATCCCGAGCCTGGCCGGGCTCCCAGTCGAAGAGGGCCTGGTTCAGGCACAGGAACAGGTCAGGCTGCTCCTGTCGACCCCACTCCGCTGCGACAGGCGTGGAGGATACGCGGAGAGAAAATCCCAGCATCGCGCAACCCTGGGAATACCCTGAGGAGCACCAGTCGTGCTTGCCGTGACGAGGGGGGAAGATGGAGGAGGGGTGGAGGGAGGAGGAGGCAGCTGGTAGGATGGGGATGGCGAAGGGAGGAAGGAGGACTGAGGAGGGAGAAGGGAGAAGGAGGCAGGACAGGCTGGCATGGTCTGGGTAGGTTCAGGAATGTTGGTGAGGTCGCATGGTATTGTTCTGGTAGCTTTCTTGGGAGGTTCTGGCAAGGTCCTAGCAGGGTGACCCAAGGTGCTGGCAGGGTCCTGGTAAGATCATGGTAAGGTTTCGGCAGGAGCCTGGTGAGGTCATGGAAGAGGCTGGTGACGTGCCTTGCAGGGTCCTGGAATGGTCCTGCAAGTGTCCTAGTAGAGGGTCCAAGCTGGAACTGTGGCCAGCGCTGAAGGCGAGACCATCCTTCCTAACTGCTGGAAGCGTGGCTGGCGCCAGGCGATATACTTGGGAACGGCGAGAACGCTGGGGCTGGCGCGACGTAACACAGTGGGAACGTGGACTCTGCGACGGCAAGAACAACATTCCAAACTGGGACGTTGGCCCGCCAACAAGCGAGAGCACCGTTCGTGGCTCAGAACCGGGGAGCAATCACAACGATAGCGAGACTCGGGAGTTGGACCATGAGAATGAAATGGTCCCGCTGAGCTCTGAGACCTGAAACAAGCGCGTCGGCGGCGGCGTGGGACACTGTCAATACGTGACCAAGTGGCCAACCTCTACGTAGGGAGTGTGTCGTTGACACACATGCGGTACCCGCCAAGACTCTGCAGCGAAGCGCTGTGAACAGCAAATGATTAGACTTCGCACGAAACGTGTATTGTCTGGAACGAGAGGCAGTTAGAGAACCCACAACCTAAACGAACATCCGAAGTATGAATATCACATGTGCGCAACGATTCCCCGATCATACCGAAGCCAACAAACATCTCTGTGGGCCCAATTGCCCAACACCACTAACGCTGGAACAAAGCCCACATTCCTTGAGACACTGTAGACATATACTCACCCGTGCGAACACACGCTTGCCTCATTCACAGCGTTGCATCAACAGATGAGGATGCGCGAACGGACGGACGAACACGCACACTTCTACACACAATATAAGTGTTGCGTTTCTCTCTTTATATGTATACTGTAAGTCGCGCGTAGACCATGTGCATCGTAGATAACAGCATTTCAATGCTTGTACATCCTGCCTGGATGCCCCAACCATGGATGGGCGTCACCCAAAATGATCCCACGAATTCCATCAGATGGCCTCCCGCCATGTTGCACGTCCTCGTTAGCCTCCGTCAGATCTTGCTGAGCAGCTCAACGGCCCGACACGACCCCGATGGGCTCCGATACTTGCCAAATAACGACTAAGACGACCCGAGATGCCCCCAAGACAACCCGCTTGAGCCCCACGAGAACTTCTCCAAGGCACCGAGCATCAGTATGCCTGCCGACACCCTAAAAAGCTTTGCAAGACGTTCCGCATGCCCGCCTCGTCGGTCTGAGGAAGCGCCCAGGAAGAACCACAGAGACCCCCACGGTCGCCAACGACATCCCAACTAGGCCCCTAGAGAGACTCAGCACACCCAAAGACTGCCTCCAATGTGGCTGACTGCGGCCGAAGAGAGTCCCAAGAACGCTAAAGAGAGCCCCAAGACGCCTAATGAAAGCCCCTCCGCTGGTTTCAAGGCGGCTCCAGGTTACTTCCAACAAGGCGGCCTCCAGGGTCGCTGGGAAGCTCGTGAGCGCCCCAAAGCTGCCAAAAAGAGTAAGGAGCCCCAGTACTGCCGAGGCGAGCCACAGGAGGCCCCCCAAGAAGGGCCAGAGGGTCCCTGAGGTAATCCTCAAGAGGCCTAAAGCAACCCCTCACCCTCTGTGCTCTTCTAACCTTTCCGATCATAACTCGGAGGATCAACGTTCAACTACAGTCGACCGTGTTTACCCCCAAGCAATGCTCCCCTGTCTAACGTGGCGCTACTAAAGACTGCGATGGGCTCCCCGGGTGCGTTGGCGCGTTCGCGGGCGCCTCGTGGGCGCCCCGTGCACAGGGTGGATTTGCAGAGGGCTTGCCGCGCTGGCGCCCGTGCCCACTCGCGGGCACCTTGCGGGCGCTCCGTGCGCTGGCTGGGTGTCCCGACGACTCGCCGAAATGGCGCCCGTGCCCGCTCGTGGGCGCCTCGTGGGCGCCCCGTGCGCTGGCTAGGCTTCTAGAAGTTTCGTCGCGTTGGCGTCCATGCCCGTTCGTGTGCGCCCCGTGTGCACCCCGTACGTTTGCACGCATAGCCTACACAGCATAGCTTACACAGCATAACCCGCACAATATAGTTCACACCACAAAACTTACAAAACACAGCTTGCGCCACATGGTTCACCCCACCTATCCTACACACCATAATTCAAACCGAATAGCTCTCACCACAAAGCTTACACAGGAAAACTTGCACCGGTGGCAAATGTTGTGTATCGATGATCGACGGGCATTGCGTTCTCGCAAGGGCAAAGGGCGGCGGCGAGTCGCCGTATGCGGTTTCATCTCCATGTTGGCACACCCTTCGCACGCATCGTCCCCCCATAGGGGCCTCCACTCGTCGGCCTCAGTGCGCTAAGTCGCATAGCGCCCCCCCCGGCCCATGCCGGCACACTACTGACGCGGATCCTGACGCAGACGGACCTCCACTTACGGCGCCCATGCAGTTCGCATAGCGCCGCCTCGCCCGTTCTGGCAGACCACGCACGCGGATCGCGCCTCGTTTGGAGCTTCACCCGCAGCTTCAGTGGGGGAGCTCGCATGCCGCTCACCATCGGTCATTGTGGCTTAGTCTTCACGCGGTTCGTGACCCATGGGCAGCTGCACGGCCTCAGTGGGCCAATTCGCATGCGCGCTGTAGCCCATGCCAGCACACCCCTCAATCGGATCGCACGAGCTCAACAAACGGCGTCAGCGGGGATGTTCACGTCCCACAAAAGGCTCCAACCCCCGCCCTCCCGCGGAGCGCAATCCATACGGGGAAGACCACCCCGCTGCGCCACATGCAACTACATCCGCCACAGTGCCTGCGGCACGTTGAGACGTGGAAGAATACCAAGGGCTGTCTGGCAGGGATTCTGTAGTCTTTTAGGGGACCATCCCCCTCCGCGGGAAGCACGCAGCCACATGCACCACCGCTACTCCTGGGGGGTCCCTGGGCGACCCTGGCGCATCCCTGGGACTTTCCAAGGCTTCCATGACGGCCCAGGAAGCCCCCACGACGGTCCCAGAGGGCCCCGAAACGTCAAACGATCGTACCAAGATGGTCTCCAGATGGCCCAAGAGGCCTCCAAGACGCCCCGAAAGGACTCCAAGAGGCCTCGCAAGAGGGCCCATCCAATCAACATCCATGATTTTTTTGGGGGGCGCTGAAGGGTATTAACGTTATCGCCTTTTCTGCTTTCCGACACTCCAAGACGGCCCAAGAGGCCCCCAAGACCAGCCCAAAATGGCCCAAGAGGCCTCCAAGAGGGCCCGAAGACAGCCTAAGAGCGCCCCAGGACGGCCCAAGAGACGCCCAAGACGGCCCAAGAGGGCCCCAAGACGGCCCCAAAAGGGGCCCAAGAGAAAGAACGCGAACCGAATATCCGAGCCTTCCGCCCCAAGAAGCCCCCAGGTGGTTCCAAGAGGCGCCCAAGAGGCCCCCAGGAGGCCCCCAAGAGGCCCTAAGAGGCCCGATAGGAGCCCCAAAACGGCCCCCAGGAGGCTCCAAAACTGCCTCCAAGAGGCACCCGAGATGCCTCCCACGAGATTCCAACGAACATCCAAGAGGCTTCATGCCCGCGGTACAATTTCTTAATCTGCAGGGCGAGAGCGAACCTCTTCCGCTGAAAGCTAAGCGGGGCGCGCACAGCTTTAATTAGCAGAGAAAGGGCGGAAGAAGGCGGGGCCTCACGCGGCCGGGCGAGGGCGAAGCCCAGGGGTCAGGCGGTGCCGAAGAAGACGTGCAGGAAAAGGTACACCTTGGACAGGAGCCCGGTGGAGGAATGCGGAGGGCGATGATGACGACGACGACGACGACGACGACGACGACGACAGAGGACAGTCGAGGCAATTGGAAAAAAGACGTTACTCCTGGCGCCGCGCGGGGTTCTCTTGGGGCCTGTTGAGGGCTTCTTGGGGGCCCCTTGGGTCCTCTTATGGGCTTCTGGGGTCTTCTTGGGCTGTCTGGGCGCGTCGTGGGGTTATGTGGGAGCTTTCTTAGGCCGTCTCGGCGCTGGGGGCCTCCTGGGGCGCTCCCGTGAGTCTCTTGGGGCCTTCTTGGCCCTTCTCGGGCCGTCTTGGGGTTCTTGTGAGCTGTCTGGGTGGCTCCTAAAGCGCTCTTGGGGGTCTCTTGGGGTCTTCTTGGGGCGTTCTTGGGCGTTCCTGGGGCTCTCCGGGGCGTCTTTTGGGCCTCCCTCGGGCCGTTGGAAAGCCCTCCAAGAGCGATTCGAACACGACGTCGATGCGGAGTCTTCTCTTGGGCCGATGTTTGGAGGATGTCTCGAGCGAAACTGCCATTTTTCAGAAACCTGACCGGACAAGAACGGGAAGCGTCCTCTTGTCCCCTGGGCTTATGAGATATTCCACGTTTTTAGTACGGCATACCACAGCAGTGCCACGTACCACTGCCGTGTTTCTTTGTGGTCTGCCGTGCTCCTATGGGGTCTGCCGTTGTTCGGCCGTCTTGAGGGCACTCTTAGGGCATAGTCTGCCGTGCTCCTCGTCTTGGTCTGCCGTGCTCCTCGTCTTGGTCATCCTTTCCGTCGTCTTGAGGGCGCTCTTGGTGCCTGGTCTGCCGTGCTCCTCGTTCTCGGGAACCCATCTGCCCCTCGACGGATCACCGTTGCCAGAGAGAATCGCAACCACTTTGTACCTGTGTTGCCTTACCCTCACAATACTGAAGGCGGGCGCTGGTTGCCCTGGTGAGCGGATAGCGCGATTGCGATGTGGGCTATCCTGTATGGTCTGCCGTGCTCTTGTGTGGTTTGCCGTGCTCCTGTGTGGTCTGCCGTGCTCCCGTGGGGTCTGCCGTGTCCTGTGTGGTCTGCCGTGCTCCTGTGTGGTCTGCCGTGCTCTGGTGTGGTCTGCCGTGCTCCTTCTTGGTCTGCCGTGCTCATGTGGGGTCTGCCGTGCTCCTGTGCGGTCTGCCGTGCGAACGTGTGGACTGCCGTGCTCATTTGGTGTCTGCCTTGCTCCTTTGTGGTTTGCCGCGCTCCTGTGTGGTCTGCCGTGCTCCTGTGTGGTCAGCCGTGCTCCTGAGGCGTCTACGGTGCTCTTTTGGGGTCTGCCGTACTCATTTGGGGTCTGCCGTGCACCTGTGGTCGGCCGTGCTCATTTGGGGTCTGCCGCGCGCCTGTGAGATCTGCCGTGCTCCTGTTGGGGAAACGCCAGCGGCGTTCGGGGTACAACAAAAAGGCGCGTTTATGTTGTACCCGCGCGCGGTCTGCCGTGCTCCTGTGTTCCGCCGTGCTCCTGTGGCGTCTGCCGGGCTCCTGTGTGGTCTGCCGTGCTCCTTTGTGGTCTGCCGTGCTCCTGTGGAGTCTGCCGTGCTCCTGTGTGGTCTGCCGTGCTCTTGTGGTCTGCCGTGCTCATTTGGGATTTGCCGTGCTCATGTGGGGTCTGCCGTACTCCTGTGTGGTCTGCCGTGCTCCGGTGGTCTGCCGTGCTCCTTTGGGGTCTGCCTTGCTACTGTGGGGTCTGCCGTGCTCCTGTGTGGTCTGCCGTGCTCCTGTGGTTTGCCTTGCTCCTGTGTGGTCTGCCGTGCTCCTTTAGGGTCTGCTCTGCCGTGCTCCTGTGGGGTCTGCCGTGCTCCTGTGGGGTCTGCCGTGCTCTTGTGGGGTCTGCCGTGCTCTTGTGTGGTCTGCCGTGCTCCTTTGTGGTCTGCCGTGCTCCTGTGTGGTCTGCCGTGCTCCTGTCTGTGCTCTTGTGTGTGTGGTCTGCCGTGCTCCTATGGGGTCTGCCGTGCTCCTGTGGGGTCTGCCGTGCTCATGTGTGGTCTGCCGTGCTCCTGCGCGGTCTGCCGTGCTCCTGTGGCGTCTGCCGTGCTCCTGTGTGGTCTGCCGTGCTCCTGTGGTCTGCCGTGCTCATTTGGGGTTTCCCGCCAGCTTGTGTGGTCTGCCGTGCTCCTGTGGGGGAAACGCCAGCGGCGTTCGGGGTACAACAAAAGGCGCGTTTATGTTGTACCTGCGCGCGGTCTGCCGTGCTCCTGTGGGGATTGCCGTGCTCCTGTGTGGTCTGCCGTGCTCCTGTGTGGTTTGCCGTGCTTCTGTGGTCTGCCGTGCTCCTTTGTGGTTTGCCGTGCTCCTGTGGGGTCTGCCGTGCTCCTGTGGGGTCTGCCGTGCTCCTGTGAGGTCTGCGGTGCTCTTGTGTGGTCTGCAGTGCTTCTGTGTCTGCCGTGCTCATTTGGGATCTGCCGTGCTCGTGTGGTGTCTGCCCTGCTCCTGCGGGATCTGCTGTGCTCCTTGTGTCGTCTCTTTGGTCTGCCGTGCTCGTGTGGGGTCTGCCGTGCTCCTGTGTGGTCTGCCGTGCTCCTGTGGGGGCAAACCAGCAACACGTGAAGAAGTTATCCTGACGGGGCAAACCAGCAACACGTCAAAGGTTATCCTGAGGGGGGCAAACGAGCAACACGCCAAGAAGGCTCCTGTGTGGTCTGCCGTGCTCCTTTGTGGTTTGCCGTGCTCCTGTGGAGTCTGCCGTGCTCCTGTGTGGTCTGCCGTGCTCTTGTGGTCTGCCGTGCTCATTTGGGATTTGCCGTGCTCATGTGGGGTCTGCCGTACTCCTGTGTGGTCTGCCGTGCTCCGGTGGTCTGCCGTGCTCCTTTGGGGTCTGCCTTGCTACTGTGGGGTCTGCCGTGCTCCTGTGTGGTCTGCCGTGCTCCTGTGGTTTGCCTTGCTCCTGTGTGGTCTGCCGTGCTCCTTTTGGGTCTGCTCTGCCGTGCTCCTGTGGGGTCTGCCGTGCTCCTGTGGGGTCTGCCGTGCTCTTGTGGGGTCTGCCGTGCTCTTGTGTGGTCTGCCGTGCTCCTTTGTGGTCTGCCGTGCTCCTGTGTGGTCTGCCGTGCTCCTGTGTGGCCTGCCGTGCTCTTGTGTGAGCTGTGAGCTGCGGGGCCTATGAAGGCTAAAAGAAGCCCGAGGCCCGCGGAGCCCATTGGCCCCAGGGCCTCAAGGGCCAGCCCTAGGGGCCCCAAAGGAGCCACCGCAGGGGAGGGCGCGAAGCGCCAAACGCGCGAAGCGCACGATTTCAAAGAAATCAGGAAGGCAGCAGAGGCAGAGGCGCTCTCGCACGCCCAACATGCCCCCCACGCTGCAAGTGCAACAATGGGCAGAAGTGCTGCCTCACGCACTGAAAGGAAAAGGATGACGAGGGGCGGACACAACAGAAGGAGAAGAAGATGCTGCGTCGCTCCCCCTCGTCACCAACAGCACGGCGGCGTCTCTTGCGCCTGCCCTCGCGCGCCGTCTCAGCCGCGGCTGACCGATCATGGAGGCTCGCCTCTCAAGGCCGTAGGCGCTCAGCCAGGCCTCCCTCGTGGCCCCCGCGGGGCCAGGCGCCTGTGGCTCCGCCGCCGCCACGCCAGCCGCCGCCCCGCCGCTGGGGGGCCCACAGCCGGCGTCAGCGGCCTCGCCGCAAGGGGCGCCCACGGGGCGGACCCCAGCCTCTGAAGGAAGCGCACCCTGGCAACCATCGGCACCACGTCCTCCTTGCGAAGGCAGGGTACTGTCGCGCCGACCCTCCTGCTGCCGCTGTGGGGCGTGCCAGGAGAGGCCGACCATCAACCACTTCTTCGTCGCCTCCTGCGTCCCGCAGTCCACGGCACCGAAGGCGCTCTGAGCGGGCCAATGGGGCCAATGGGCGGAGGCTGTCCTTCCCGCCCCAGCTCGGCCAGCCACGTGCGCAGGCACACGTCGTCGTAGCGCCGCATGCAGTCCGACACGATCCTCTGCGACCGCGTCAGCGTGTGGCGCCACCTGTAGTAGGCCCGCCTCGCAGGCATGCCAGTCCCCCAGGCCCGCTCGCAGATCTCCTCGGCCATCTCCTCGGCCGTCCTCCCACGCGCCCGCAGCCTGGTGGCGAAGCGCGGCTGGGACAGGATCTGCGTGACGTAGCCGACGCAGTGGTCGAGCCACTCGCTGTAGCATTCCATCGTCTCGCCGACCTCGGGAGCCTGGGTCCAGTACCGCGCCCATCCAGCGACCTGCAGCTCAAGCCTGGGCGCGACGCTGCGCCTCGGCTGCGCTGGCTCAGGCCGAGCCACCGCAACACTGCCAGCACTCAGGGCGGGGCCGCACACACGGTCGGCACTTGCAGGTCCCCTGCCACCCCTGGTGCTGGCCATGCACATGCCGTCGCGGTCCGCGTCGCTTCCTGGGCAGTGGGTGCACGCCATCAGCTCCTGCTCGGCTGCGCCGTCTCCGCACCTGGCGAAGGCCATCCCCTGCCAGATGAGGGAGGCTTGCGCGACCCAGCATGAGAGCTCCCTCACCACCTCCATCATGCCGAAGAACCCGCGCCTGGCCACAGCGCAGGCGCGGTGCAGCTCCGCACCTGCCTTGGCCCAGCGGTCGGCATGACCGTTGCCGTGGAGGTAGGCTTCCGTGACCTTGCCATCCAGCACGTCTCTGGCGGTACAGTGAGCTGCAACCTTGGCCGCCTTGAGCGTGTCCACGTCCAGCGAAGCGTAGATCCCCTCCCAGAGATGGGCATTGGGCTTGTAGGCTGCCGTCGCGTACCTCATGCCCAACGTGAGACAGCTGACCGTAGACGCACAGTCGATGGGGATCTCCTCCACACTCGGGCCCAGGAAGCGAGCAACCATCCTGGAGGCGAAGCAGGACAGGGCGATGAGGGTGCACCCCGAAGCCCTCGAGCGTGGTGGCGCAGGAGGCCGTGCAGGCTGCCAACGCCGCTGAAGCCACGAACTAGCCGTAGAGGTGGTCACAGCCCTCGGCATGGCACGTCGCCTCCGAGGGCCCCAGGACGTGTCCCCGGACCGCCAAGGCCATCCCAACTCCTCGAGGGGCTCAGGCTCCATGTTGAAGTCGGATTGGAGGACAAACGGGATGTCGGCAGAGAAGCCCGTCACCTCCGAGATGGCCGAAAACAAGTCCAGGTTGGTGCCTCGCGGGCCCACAGAGTGCTGGAAATGCCCAGATAGCGCCAGGAACCAAAGGCCCGAGGCGGTGGCGACCTCCACACAGCTGAGGCGGTGCCGCAAGGCCGAGGGCAGCGAGAACGCCGACTCGTCGGCCTGCAAGCCGTCTCGCACCAGGATCGCCGCGGCGCCTGAGGTCGCCTGGGGCCCCTGCTTGTCCGTCAGCGCTGCCTCGGGGAGGAAGGCCACGTAGCCCAGGCCGCGGGCCTGAGCCGCCGCACTGGGCAGGCGCTCATGCGGGAGCCTCGTCTCCTGCAGCGCCTCCACGTCGGGCCAGTAGTTGCACGTCTTGAAGAAGGCCGCAATGGCCTCAAAACTCCTGCTCCACGTGTTGCCGTTGCAGCCGAACAAGACGAGGCCAGCTCGAAGCTGCTGGCCTCCTGCCCTGCCAACCATCGGCGCCTTGCCGATGACGGCTGCCACGCGGACTGCGCGCTGACCAGCGCCCGACACAGGGCACGCCGCGCCCCTGGTCGCGGGACCCTCCGCCCCCACCAGGACTGGAGGGGGGACCTGGCCCCACGCTCCAGCGCTCCTCATCGGCGTCTGCGGGCCGCTGTCCAGCACGGGAGGTGGCCGCCGCTGAGGAGGTGGCCGTCCCTCGACCCCTCCGGTTGCCAGCGGGGGGTGCCCCTGCCCATCACCATCGGGGCCGAGAGCTGCGACGTCGTGGGGCTGAATCCCACCGCTCTCGGCCCCTGACTGGCCGTCGGGGGGCCACCTCGGTGTTCCCGACCGCGCCAGCTGGCTACCTCGGGCAAGGGTGCTCGGCGCCGCCCGCCGCCTGCGAGGGCCGCGGGCGCGCCAGCGGCCGTCGCAGCGCCTCATCCACCTGTCCCAGCAGCTAGGCCCCCGCGCGTCCCGAGGGAAGGGCGCTCCGCTGCCCCCGACGTCGAGGTCGGCGGTGGAAGCTGACCACTCCGACGCTCTCGCATCACACGCGGCGCGGCCCGTATCCAGCAGCAGGAGCAACCACAGCAGCCGCAGCCACCAAGGTGTCGCTGTCCGCGAGGGCCGCCCCTTGCTCAGCGAGGGCCTTGGCGAGGCACGGCTCCGCCAGAGGCCACGTGCCCAGGGTCGCCCCGTGCTGGCCGCGGGCCGCTGCAGGGCCGTAAGGCCCGTCCGCTGCCCTGGCCCGCGGGGCTGGCGGCCCAGCCGCGGTAGGCCCTGGCTGCGGGGCTGCAGCGGGCGGGGCGGCCGCGGGCCCCCCAGAGGCCACGATGTCGAGCGGCATGTCGTCATCCTCGGTCGCGAGGCCATCGTCCCCGACGCTGTCGCCCCAACGCGTCCTGGCCGAGCTGCTGCGGGGCCTGAGCACCTCGGCGACCGCCTCCTTCTGCGTGTTGAGAATCCCGACGATCTCGGAAAACCTAGGGGGCAGCTCCGACCCGTGCTGCTTGAGGAGATCCGAAAGGGCGCCGACCTGAGTGAGCAGCCCTTGGACTGCGTCCCCAAGCGGGCTCGGAACACCTCCGACGGCCGCGCTGGCCCGCTGGATCGCCTGCTGCGTGACCTTGGCTCTGGTATCCTCCAGCTCGGCAATCTGCCCCGCGACCTCATCCACTCCCAACTCGGCTGCCGAGAGCTGCTCCTGCTTCTCCGCGATGAGTTCGCGCAGCTCGGACGCCTGCAGTTGGAGCTTCTCCTTCTTGGTGCGTGCCGCGGCCAGCTGGCGCTCGACCTTCTGAATGGCGTTGGCCTCGATGTGGAGCACCGAGTGAGGTGGGCGCTCCGTCCGCTGGGCTTCCTGGACGGCCAGCTCAAGGGCGGCGACCTGGTCCTTGCCCAGCTGGAGGGCGCTCTCCGCCTCACGCTGGAAGTCCGCCGAGAGCCCGAGCGCCAAGGCCCCCTGGAGCTTGTCGACGCGCTCCCTGGCCGCCACGAGCTGCGCCTGCAGCTCCTCGAACTGGGACTTGGCCTCTCCCCAAGGTCGCACGCGCCGTGCCCTGCTGTTGGGGGTGCTGCTGGGCGCGGTGCTCCCTGAGAGGGCCCGCTGGGAGGCCGAGCGCCTCGCAGCCCGCTGTTCGGCCCTTCCCCTGGGTTGCTGTACGAACCCGTCAGCGTCCACTCTCGGGGGGCCCTTGTCGGTACGGTACTCCTTCGTCCATGGGGGAGCACTGGTGCCACACACCTTGCACGACCAACGCTTGTCACACCAGTTCCAAGCGTTGCAGCCACGCTTAGCACACAACCAGTACGCCCGCCTGGCCAGCCCCGAGGCAACCTCCGACATGGCGGCACACCGTGGGACTGACTGCTGCTCGGCCGAAACTCTCGGCCCTGCAGGAACGAGGAGAACCAAAATTGGCGAAGCTTCTGGCTCTTGGCGAAGCGCCCCTCGCGCTCCAGAACGCCCGACGGACTCGCGGTCGTCGGGTGCGCCATGGCCTTGAGCCAAAATGGCTACGGACCCGTGCTCTTGTGTGGTCTGCCGTGCTCCTGTTGGTCTGCCGTGCTCTTCTATGGTCTGCCGTGCTCCTATGGGGTCTGCCGTGCTCCTGTGGGGTCTGCCGTGCTCATGTGTGGTCTGCCGTGCTCCTGCGCGGTCTGCCGTGCTCCTGTGGCGTCTGCCGTGCTCCTGTGTGGTCTGCCGTGCTCCTGTGGTCTGCCGTGCTGATTTGGGGTTTCCCGCCAGCTTGTGTGGTCTGCCGTGCTCCTGTGGGGGAAACGCCAGCGGCGTTCGGGGTACAACCAAAGGCGCGTTTATGTTGTACCTGCGCGCGGTCTGCCGTGCTCCTGTGGGGATTGCCGTGCTCCTGTGTGGTCTGCCGTGCTCCTGTGTGGTTTGCCGTGCTTCTGTGGTCTGCCGTGCTCCTTTTCGAACACGACGTCGATGCGGAGTCTTCTCTTGGGCCGATGTTTGGAGGATGTCTCGAGCGAAACTGCCATTTTTCAGAAATCCGCCAGCGCAGTTTCCAAGTGCGCCCCGTACCCCGTCATTAATTTCTACCACCAACAAACGGTCCACGCGAATTTCCCGTCATCCGCCAGCGACCTTCCAAGTGCAATCCGTACCCCTTAGTTAGAGAAAATTAAGCCCCAGAACCAACGGTGCACGCCGGAGGCGCTTCCCGTCATCCGCCACCGCGCCCTCCTGGCACGATGAGGCGTGGCAGAATGCACGTGCCGTCTGGTAGGATCTTCTACGCCCCCCACCCTCCCTACAAACAAAATGTGGTGTGCGTTCCCCCCTCCCACTTGTTTCTGGACGCCCGGACGTCTGCCTGGCGCTTTCCATGGCAGGCCAACATTGGTGCTCGTCCCAAGCTGGTCAAATGGTGCTCACGTTCTGAATGTTTGGAGCTTCCGTCAGTCCAAGACGGCCCAAGAGGCCTCCAAGATGGCCCCAAGACGGCCCCAGAGGGCCCCACAAAATGTCACCAAGACGACCCACCCGACGAAGCACCCAAAGCGGACTCTGAACGGCACCGGACTGCCCAAGATCGCCCTAAGACAACGAACGGAGCGCCCAGGAGCCCCCAGTGGTCCTAAGACGCCCCCAAGAAGCCCCACCCCAACGGCCGAAGAGGCCCCAAGGATTTGCCAAGAGAGCCTCGAGGGACGCGCAAGACTGCCCCACAGGTGCCGAAGGCAGCCCCCAAAAGGCCCAAACACGCCCCGTGAGCTCTCCTCAAGAAGCCGAGGCGAGCTGATCACATGAGACGGCCTTCCGTGCGGTGGCCGAAGGGTCGCCACACAGTGCTTCGCTGGCACTGTGGCGGTTCTGCCACAGGCAGCTGGGTACTCCCAGATCTTTGTCCAATCGTTTCGCCAGACTTTGGCGGCCCACCGCTGGGCCACATAGGCGTTTCGTGAGGGCAATGGGCGGCGGTGGCTCGCAGTAGGCGTCCTCGATGCCGCGATGCCCCCTCCTGATGCACTACTGGACGGTTGCCTCGCCAATTGCGCTGCAACCATTACGCTACCGAGGAGCCCCATATACTTATACAGTGGCTGGAGTGATGATAGCTGAAGTGAGGCATGTGAGGATGATGTTGGTGGCCGTTGCCCAGCCGATACCGTTGGTGACGCCAGTCAAGAGGAGAGTAATAAGGCCGAAACGGATAGCGACCGCAACCCCAGCGCACCCCCTGTGGCGTCGAGAAATTGCCACGCGTGCCACGCGCTGCGAAGCCGAAACGCATAGCGACCGCACCCCCAGCGCACCCCCGTGGCGTCGAGGAAGTGCCACGCGTGCCACGCTTTGTGAAGCCGAAGCGCATAGCAACCGCACCCCCAGCGCACCCCTTGTGGCGTCGAGCAAATGCCACGCCTGCCACGCTTTGCGAGCCGAAACGGACAGCGACCGCACCCCCAACGCACCCCCTGTGGCATCGAGAAAATGCAACGCCTGCCACACGTTGCGAGCCCGAAACGCATAGCGACCGCACCCCCAGCGCACCCCCTGTGGCATCGAGCAAGTGCCACGCCTGCCACACGCTGCGAGCCCGAAACGCATAGCGACCGCACCCCCAGCGCACCCCCTGTGGCGTCGAGGAAGTGCCACGCCTACCACGCTTTGCGAAGCCGAAACGCATAGCGACCGCAAACCCAGCGCACCACCTGTAGCGTCGAGAAAATGCCACGCTTGCCACGCGCTGCGAAGCCGAAGCGCTCAGCGACCGCACCCCCAACGCACCCCCTGTGGCATCGAGAAAGTGCCACGCCTGCCACACGTTGCGAGCCCGAAACGCATAGCAACCGCACCCCCAGCGCACCCCCCCCATTGCGGCGAGGAAGTGCCACGCCTGCCACGCTTTGCGAAGCCGAAACGCGTAGCGACCGCACCCCCAGCGCACCCCTTGTAGCGTCGAGAAAGTGCCACGCCTACCACGCTTTGCGAAGCCGAAGCGCTCAGCGACCGCACCCCCAGCGCACCCCCTGTCCACGCCTGCCACGCATTGCGAAGCCGAAGCGGATAGCGACCACGCCCCCAACGCACCCCGTGTGGCGTCGACGAAGTGTCACGCCTGCCACGCGTCACGAAGTCGAAATGGATAGCGGCCGCACCCCCAGCGCACCCCCTGTGGCGTCCCCTGTGCACCCCCTCTGGTGTCGAGAAAGCAGCTGTGCTGTGCTGAGCTGTGCTGTGCTGAGCCGAGCTGTGCTGAGCAGTGCGGCGCTGTGCTGTGTACGTGCTGTGTGTCAATGTGCTGTGTGCTGTGTCGTGCTGTGCTGTGCTGTGCTGTGCTGCGCTGTGCTGAGCTGCGCTGTGTTGTGTGAGAAGGAAAAGGAGGGGGAGGAGGAAGAGGAGGGGTGAGGAGACACGGGTGCGACGCGGGAAGGAAGAAAACCATAACCCCACTAAGCATGTGGGAAAACACCCAAGGACCCCCGACGTCATGAATCCCACCAGCCCTTTGGGCAGGTGGTCTAGCGATAAACGTATTTTCCTTCCCTTCCAAAAACACGTTCCTCTTCGGGGAGGTTCGTCTCCCACCACTCCTTGTGCCCAGACGGGTAGGGGACGGAGGGTTTAGAGCGCCCACGATAGCCCAAGATGGCTCCAAGAGTGCATCCGATGCTCCAAGACGGCTCGGTCGGAGTCCCCTCGAACCCCCCCGTAGAAGCAACAACCCGTCAAACATCTAAGGGAAATCGATAGGCGTTGCCGTCTCGCCGTTTCGCGTCCGATGCGCTTTTGAAGCATAATGATTGCCCCACGATGGCCCAAGAGAGGCCAAAGAGGGTCCCAAGAGGCCCCCCTGACGGCCCCAAGAGCGCCCCCAAAGGGCCCCAAGGGTCGTGTTCGAGGGCTGCCTGCGGGTTCAAGGGGGGGGGGGGGGGAAACGTTACGAGCCTCCCTCCTTCATCGATACCCCCAACATGGCGTCAAGAGGCCCTCCAGGGCTCCCAGGGGGCCCCCAAGAGAGGCCCGAGGGGGCCCCGACAGGGCCCCAAGAGGGTCCCTAGACACCAAAAACAGCCCCAAGATGACCCCACGCTCCCCCAAAGCAGTCCTAAGAGGGCTCCGAGAGACGATTTTGAGGGTTATGTCCTCGTTCTCGTTGTCCTCCTCCTCCTCCTCCTCGTCCTTGTCCTTGCCCTCATCGACTTCCTTTTCCTGTTTCTCCTCTTCCTGGTCGTCGTGGTCGTCGTCGTCGTCGTCGTCGTCGTCGCCTCCCTCCTCCTCGTCCTCCTCTTCCTCCTCCTCTCCTCCTGCTCCTCCTGCTCCTCCTGCTCCTCCTGCTGCTGCTCCTCCTGCTCCTCCTCATGTTCCTCCTGCTCCTCCTCCTCCTTCTCCTGCTCCTCCTCCTTCTCCTCCTCCTCCGTCTTCTCCTCCTCCTCCTCCTCCTCCTCCCTCTCCTCGTCCTTCTTCCCTCGCCTCCGCGCGGGCCCCAGGGATGGCCCGAAGAGGCTAGGCCACCCCCTTGCTCCCAGAGATCTCTCTGTTCACCCTGGTTGCCCGCCTTGTTTCACTATGATATATGTCTCTTCGTCCCTTCTCCCGTAGCTCTAATGGACAAGGTTCTCTTAATGGGCTGGTGGGGATGCGCGAAGCGTGAACATTTTTTCAAAACGTCGAATCCCACCGGTCTGCACCCATTCCCAGACTGGAGTTAAACCCCGAGTCGATCGTTGACGGTCCCAACGCCTGGTGAAGGCCACCAGAGGCCGAAGATAACGAAAAAACGATCGCCGTGCGTCTAGCTGCAGAACTGCAGCATTGGAGCCAACCTGCTCCGCTACCAATGCGGGTTCGCCGATAAAAATCACGAAATAGATTTCCGTCTGATACTTATCAACGATGATGGTCCGTGGATCGTGTCGTCTGTATCTTTTCGCCCGCAACAGTTCTGAGGAGTAGTCTCTCTCGTCGCACAGTCCAGCACGCACAGCACGCGTTCCAGAGAGTCGTTCAGGAATCGTCTGTTCTCTTCTCTCCTCCATTAATTGTGTTCATCTGGTTCAATGTCGTGCTCTCTGGAGCACTCAAAAGAATGGGTACCGCCCAAAGGCGGTTCAAGGGGCCCCTGGAGAGCCGTGTAGGTTACGGACAGCAGCAATTGAAACAGAGAGCGACTCGACTGAAACGTGATTCTCACAGTTGGGTTCACACGGGGGGGGGCAGCGGGGAGAAGGGCGGACGAGGAAGGGAGCCCGGAGCCGGCAGGGGAGGGCGACGGGCCCGGGGTGGGCGTGCGCGGTCGCCTGCTGCAGGCAGCAACGCACCGCCGCGAGCTCGTCCTGCGACAATGCGCGGTGCCTGCCCGCCGCCTGCTCGCGCTGCGCCCACGCCAACCTGCGCCACGGGTGCCCTCGAGGGGAGGCCCGAGGGCGACGGGAGGGGCGGAGGGAGGGGGGAGAGAGAGCGGAGGGGAGCGGAGGGAAGGACTGGGAGGAGAGGCAGGGCGGAAGGGGGGGAGATGGAGATCTGGGAGGGGGGACAAGAGTTCGGGAACAGAAGGGCGAGGAGGATGGAGAAGGGTGGACGGGAACGGAGGGAAGGAGAGAAGACCGACAGGGGAGGGAGGGAGAGGTAGCGGGGAAGGGGGGTGGGAGGGTGGGGGGTATGGAAGAGAGCGGGAGAGGAGGGAGGAGGGGCGAGGAGGGGGGAGGGGGGGAGCGGCAGGGACTCGGGGCGGCTGCAACGGGAGGGGTGCCCCCTTCAGAGTCTCGGCGCGCGTGCGGGTCGGCCGGCGCACGGGCACTCCCCGGCGGCGGCGGCCCGTGGCAGGCGCCGCCGCAGCTCCGCCAGCGCCCTGCGAAGGCCGCAGGGCGGCCTGTACCTGGCCTCTGATCGTCCGCGTCCCCCTCCCTGCTCTCCTCTTACCCCCCACCCCTTCAGACCCTGTACCTCAATCGGATGGGCTCTGGGGGCCGGGAGAGGGGAGGAGAAGAGGATGAAGGGGTAGGAGACGGGAGGGTTAGGCTATGTACAGGGTAGGTCGGGCGACCGACGGGGAGGGACTGAATCGAGTCCAGTGTGATTTGTTCCACCCCTTCCTGCAGCGGAGCTGACTCCTCCCGCTGCAAGCTCAAATCAAACTTCCCTCAACTGCCTCTTCCCCCACTTTCTCCTCGTGTCAAAATATTGCTTGATGCCACCGAGGTGATGTCAAATTACCGCTCCGTAATTGGCACTGCCACTGAGGCTTAGCGTCAGGCCGCCCCACCCTTTGGAGGCGAGGCCACCAACTGTACGCAGCCGCCTGCAATCGCTCTTCTTAGGGGGGGGGCTCGCCAGGTCGATCTGTTCACTGGTGCTCGTGGGTCTGGTGCCCCTCTTCCCCTGTGTCTCCGAGGTCTGCGCGAGTACGCTCTGCATTGATTTACGCCGCGATGGCCAAACATTCTGCGAGATCCCGATCTCAATCCTGCGTCACTATCCGATGCTGGGCCATGCTGCCTTTCTGGAAGAGTGGTCACCTAGTGCACGCAAGAAAATGCTACAGACTCTGATGTTTGCAATCGTCATGGGGCCGAAAGGTATTCGTTTTCTTATTCGGAGTTTCGACATTGAGCGGAAGGAGGGGGAAGGGGGGAGGGCTGGCTCCGGACCTCTGCTTAGTGCGACTGTTTGCGGCAGTGCGTTCTATGGAGGAGGCTCCACCTGCTCAAGACAGGCGCCAAAAACAGCCAAGATCCTCCACGGGGGGGGGGAGGGGTCCGAGGGCCCGCGCCGATCGGCAAAGCAATGAATGAGAAAACTATCATAAAGGCGGATCTGTCGCGGGTTTGTTTGGGGGGCTGGCTTGGGAGGAGGTCAGACTCGTGGCCAGTGCTTCACCGGTGCTGCGTGCACAAGTTGTGCAGCGGCTGGGCAAGATTGCGCATACGCTGTGCAATCAAATTGTTCTTCTGAACGCATCCAGCGCCCTGATGCGTTTTTGTTTTTTTCGCTGGGGCGCTCCACGAAGTAACACACAGTCGTGAGAATCAGCGAATGTCCAAAGGGGAGCAGAGGTCGGAGGCTGGCCCTCCGTGCTTTACCTGATTGAATATCCTGGGGGGGTTCGAGGGTCCGCGCCGGACTGCGAAACGATTCACTGAAAAAACTGGCCTGCAGTCCGATGTTCTGGCTGGACCGATTCAATCGGGTAGGCACGAATCTTTTTCTCGTCCTTCTCCAATCTGCCCGTGCTCCGTGATGGCCACGGGTGGCGTCGCTGAGAACACTCCACCACTTCTCTTCGCCCCCTGAAATGGGCTGTGACCCAATCTTGGCTCTGGGATGCCATTCCTGAGTTTTTGGGGTCTGGAGGGGCTGATAGGCAAGGCTTGCCCCCATTACCACCCCCATAGTACAGGTGTGCCCTCAAGTAAAGGGAGAGTCCCGTAGACAAATCCTTCAACCCCGAATGGCGGTCCGCCCGCTCGTAGACTTGGAAGCTTAGTCAGTGATACCCCTCTCCCTTCCCATTCTCCTCGTCCCATTCCTCGTCGCTAGGGGACTCAGAACTGCACTTGCACTCGCTCCTCCTGTCAAGCCTGCACCACATCCAATGGGGCACCAATCCACGCCCACAAGCGTCAACACCGGAGGCCCGTAAAAATTTTCCAGTGCCTTCGCGCGGGGGTGCTGCTAGCAGACGGCATGGACGGACCAAACCCAATGACACTCGCCTCAAATGCACTTTCCGTCGAATGGGCATGTGCCAAACACACTCGCCGCGTGCACCTAAGGGCTCCGCACAATCACTTCTTGGCATCGTTCAGATGTCCATTCCCGTGCATTTTTCGGTTTCGTGCGTTTATGTTTCGCCACATGGTTCAAGATGCTCCACGATGGTCCTCGCCGAGAAAAAAGGCACACGCCCGAGCGAGGCCAAGGCTTTCGCGAAGTTTCCGCCATGGTGACCCTCTCCTACTCTCAGCGCCGCTCGATCCTGCTATCTACCTTGGCGTGCCTTCTCGTTCGTGAGGGCTTGCTCCATGCTCAATTTAGGTTCGCATTGCCGAGCACACCGGAACATCAGGGCGCAACTGCCCACGCCCCCATGAGAGGCGTTTCCCCTTCATTCACTAGGGTGCGGCCCCCTCGGGGATACGCTTCTCTTCCAGAGCCCCCACTGCTGAAACGAATGATTTATCCCATAAGGCACCGGAGCTGGCAGCAAGGACGCCTCAAACATGCAGGAGGGGACAAACTTACAGACCACAGGGAACTGCTATCAAGACATGGGTGGTGATACAGAGTCGCCTAATCGAGCCCATGATATAGAACCACCTGAGCTAGGTCAGGGAGCTCTAGGAAACACCCAGTAGCGTCCTGCTCAACAGCAATGGTTTGTCTACGTGGCAAATATTTGATATGATGGTGTGCGTGACAATTGACATGCCCCCTGCCGTTCCACAGCGCACAAATGAAAACAACCATTGGGTACTCTACGGCCATCGATGGGTACTCTCCCAGCCATGTTGCCTGTTGCTGTGCACATGTGGTTCATTATGATACGCTGTATCTGCCGAGCGCGTGCTTAATTTCTGGGTGTTCCTGGTGCGAAGACACAACGAGAGGCCAGGAATACAGTAACATAGCTCCATGTCATGATAGTGTGGCATCGGGCTGCAAGCCCCTCTGGCAAAAATGTTCATGGACGACGAGTGATTCCCAACCAACCCCCAAACGCTGGCGGTACGCTACTCAGAGCAAGCGCGCGTTTTGCCTGCCTCTGCCTGAGCGCATGTTTACATGTGCGGCATGCTTGGCCAGCCGCCACGCGCGTTTCGCACACCGCGTCAGCATCACGACAGACAAGGGGACTCACAACAAGTTTCAGGACCCCATCCATGGAGGTAGGGCGAACTGTGAAAATGCGCAAATTAGCAAGGCACGGGAACATAAAAAGGCGCAAAGGAGCATGGTAGATACCGTCCAGGCATACTTGGGCCCCCCTGTCCGACAACAGACACACACACACATACATACACACACAAACAACGACGCCAAAGTGCGTTGCAGGTGCGACGCGAGGACAAGAGGCCTCGTGCCTGCTGCGGCAGGAAGAGAGAGAGAGAGAGAGAGAGAGAGAGGAGGAGCAGGAGGAGGAGGAGGAGGAGGATGGGGGAGGCTGTGCACGCTTCCCTTTTTCCCAAGGGGGCCAGGACAGGCAATGTTGGATTCGACAGCCAGCTGAGATCACAACGCATGAGAGCCGTGCCAAGCCAAGCCTTCCAAGCCAGAACCGAACAAACATCGAGGAGCACGGGCGAATGACACAACGCGCGAACATGAGGTATGGGGGGCGGAAAGGGACGAAGAAGGTAAACTTGACCCGCAGTCCAGCAGGCACATTCGCACATGCGAAGCAATCGACGTTGCTGGGCACATTTCTTTTTTTCCCCAGGGGTCCAGAACAAATTATGTTGGTTTCGACAACCAGCTGAGATCACACCTCATGAGAGCCGTGCCACGCCAAGCCTTCCAGGCAAGGATCTATCGAGCTTCGACGGGCACGCGCGAATGAAACACAGGACCCCCTTCCAATGACCTGGCCGACTCGCGGCCGTTACGAAAGAGCAGCAAATGTGGCACCGTCGGCTGGGGTGCTCCAAAGACGGGCCCCACTGGCGGAAGTCGCATTGAAACGACAGGATTCGATAACATCGGCGGAGGACCACAACCACCTGGACCCTTCACTGCACACTCTGGCTGGGTAGGGCTCGGCGCGGGAGGTCAAATTCGAAGAAGACCCTGGGATCGCGCCTGACAGGTGGACGTAGGCTTCTCCAGAAAAATCATATCACCCTAAGCGGGATGAGCAGAGGCGAGAGAAGGCAGGAGGACCCATATGGAGAGCAAGGCCAAATTGTTTGCGCGCCGCCTCCACAACACTTTGACTTGGCAGAATCATAGACGTGCTCTCTAGCTGGGTGGACGGCTCGCTTCTTCAACTCGGGAGTGACCGCGTGAGACAACTGGAAATATCTTCGGCGGCCACCGGGGCTCCGGCCCGGAGACAGACGCCGACGATCTGGCGCGCGGCGAAGAGGCAGCGGCTGCCCGCCAAGGCCCGCTCGAGGCCAGCGGGGCCCAGGTTCGCGCAACCGAGCAAGTCTGAATGACTGCGACGCCGCCCGCGCGACGACGCGCTCCGCGCGTGGCAGGGGAAGGCGCTCCAGATCCCGCGGGCTCTGTTAGAAGTGTTCCAACCGACGATCAGATCCACCCGCGACCGACGGCAGGTTCAGGTTAAACGCAGGGCCCTTCTCGAGATCTACCTCGAGAGCCCCAAAAGTCCAGAGACTTCGCACGCCGCGGGCGACGCCTCCTGCGCCCGAAAACAGATCTAGGACGACTTGGCCTTTGCTGGGAGCGTCAGCGGAGGCAGCCGACAAAGGCTCGATGCCATGCTCGGTGGATGGCGGCGCGGCTCAGGCGGCCGTTCGAACCCCAGGTGCCCCTGGCCTTCCAGACGCCAGCGCATCGCCCGACAGCCGTCGGCCCCCGTGCCCAGGCGGCGCGCGGCAGCGCGGCTGCCGAGTTGCGCCTCGCCAGACTCCCAGACCTCCGCGGTTAGCTTCTCGCACTCCGCCAGGAGGTAGCGAGTCGCTGAGCCCCCATCAAGGTACCTCCGCGCGCTGGACTCGTCGAGGTGGCGCAGCCGCACCCAAGCGGAGCCGAACTCCCGGGCCCTGGACGGCGCGTCGTGAGGCAGCCCCGCGTCGAATGAGGGGATGGATGGACGTCCGCCAGCGTGGCCAGCCCGGCCGCCCCCTCGAAATCCCAACGGAATTTCGTGCCGCTGAATGGCCGCAGCGCGAAACTCGCGCTCTGCGCGGCGTCTGGCTGGAGGGCCATCCCATCGTCGAAGTGGCCTGTCTTTTGCTCCGCGTCGGGATCTCCTCCGGGAGCGGGGGCACGGCCCAGCAATCGACGCGGCCCCCGCGGCCGGGGGCCGCGGCCCGATCGCGCCCCGGGCGACGAGGAGGCCGAGGTAGAAGTCGAGCAGGCCAATAAGTAGACGATGGCCCCGATGATGGCAAACGCCGCCTCCTTGGGGGCCGCAGGCCGCTCCGGCCCCTGGCTCGGCCGGAAAAGGAGGGCCGCCGCGAGCGTCTTCCCCCCTGACCCCCGCCCCTCGAAGAACACGCGGCCCAGGTATCTGGCGAGACCCTGGTCGAACTCGGTCGCCGGCGGGGGGCGCCGATTAATCCTCGGTGGCCAGGCTGGCCCTGGGTCGCTGCAAGAAGCTGGGCATCCGCCGCCGCCGGCAAGTGGCGACTGCGCTCCGCGGCCCGACGAACGCGCGAAGACGCCGATCGGATTGCCCTGGGCCGACCGACCCGGCCGCGCCGCGGCGGCTGACCCAGCTCTTGCTCGACGCACTGCTCGAATGACTCGCTGAGCAGCTGGGGCCGCCGCCGGCGCCGGCGCGGTCGAGCCCGCCAGCGGCGGCGCCGCCAAAATCGCCGGGCCCCCGCGCGGCGCGGCGGCGGGCGATCCCCGCGGGGCAGGCGTCGGCGCCGAGTCCGCGAACCCCGGCCGCGGCAGCGTCCGCGGACTGGCTCCGCGAGACAACGCCCTCGAGCTCCCAATCGAAGGCTGGCTGGGCCCCCCGCCCCGCGACTTCGGGGCGCCCGAGAAGGCGGCGCCTCGCGGGCCCCGTCGCCGGCTCCCAGCCCGACGAGGCTGCGAGGGGGGTCATCAGCGGGGGTCACTCCGACGCAGCGTTGGACAACATCGAGAGACGCAGTAACTCCAGACAAACGCGGTTGAGCAGGGGCGACGATGATCGCCCCTGCCCTGTTGCGAGGACCACGGACATGTTATCGCCCTCCGGAGCTCGCGGCGGACCCCCATGGCGAGCGCCCTGCCCTCGGCGCGCGCGAAATGCTCGGCGGGGGCGAAGCGACCGAAGAAGGCCGCGGGCCATGCCTCGACGCCATCGATCCGCGCATGGTCGGCGTAGGAAAATCCGCGACACTGAGCTTTGCACCGGGGGTCGCGAAGAGCGTGGGCGAGCGGGCTCCGCGAGCGACAGACCAAAAACCTCTTCGCAAGCTCCGATAGCCTCCTCCACTTCTCGGAGCGGCCAGCAGTGGCCCGGACATCGTCGGCGCCCCAAGTCCTCTCGCCCACGCCGGACTCGCCCCGGCCCCGGCAGCGCCGGCGGCCGCCGCGCCCGGGTCGCGCGGCCTCCTCGCGTCGACGGCGGCGAGCGGCAGCGGCGCGGCAGCGGCCCGGAGCTCTCTGACCACGCAGTCTCCATCGTGGCCGTCGACAACGCGCTGTTCAAGTTCGAGAAAACTTCTCCGGCAAGTCCAGGTCGAGCGCCCCGGGCGCGCCGAAGCTGCGCCCCGCTGCTTGCAAGCGGATTTTCTAGGGGCGCCGCGTCGAGAGATGAGGCCAGAGCCACGCTCGGAAGGGAGACCCGCGAAGGACAGTTTATCCGAGGCCCCGGCCAACCACCGGCAAACAAGACCTCGAGATCCTGGGGGCCCAACGGCGGTCGCGCGCCCATCCGCGCGGGCTCTTGCGTCGACGCCGACGAACGCATCCCCGTCGACGTAGACGGCGGGCGGGCGGGCCCTCCTCGAGCCCGGCCGCCGGCCGCCCGCCCTGGGCGCGTCAGGGGGCGGCGGGGGGGCCGGAGTCTCAACGAGCTTGTTCGACCATCCCAGAGGGCCGCGGATTGACGCAGTAGGCGGCGACCATGTGATAATACATTTACTTGAGCCACCGCCCTCCTTGTGAACTAGATGGGCTGGTTATAACCACTTCACAAGTCCCCTAACCAGCCGCTGAACCGAACTTAGAACCAACCAATCATCACTTTGATCTCTGCCATCATATTCACAATTCTCTGAATAGTAGGCCAGCAACATCAGCAATATAACAACAATCAGTGACATACATGCCCTGGATATGAACCAACTTACCATAACCACGGAACCTGGATCCTGAGGTTAGGGGGCACTTAGCGAAGTGGGGGTGGACCTACTTAGGGAGGTGAGCTAACCTATTTAGCAAGTTCGAGAACCTCCCCAAATCGACTTAGAAACCTCTATTTTGAAGAAGGAATGCGAGGGTGTCTGAGTGAAAATCGGAGGAAGGGCCAGAGAAAACGAAGGCGCTGCCACTGTGAGCGTGGACGAGCCGACGCTGAAGTCGGCTTCTTCTTTTTCGCGGCCGTTTTGGCTTCAAGCCTGTTTTTGGCTTCTTTGAGCGCGTCGAAGGTGCATCGGCCTCAGTTTACCAGTCGCCCAATGGAGGGCCAAGTGGCGGATATCCTCAAGGAGCTAGCCCCGACCATCAATGCGAGGATCGCTGAGCACGTGGGGGGGGGGGGGGGGGGGCGGAAATTCTGAAGATGCGCACTCCCAGCAAAAATCGGTTGCTGACGAACTGCGTAAGCTTCTCCTTGCCAACGATCTCGCTTTTTACGAGACGGTGGCCAACAAACACATGATCCCTCATCCGCAGAACAGGGGCGGCGAGGGATTAGATCCCATGGATGCCCACGATTTAATCCAGGTCATTGTGAACGCTGGTTCCAGCATGGCCGAAACCAGCAGTGCCCTTTGCTTCCAGCTGAAGCCGGGAGATGAGAGCGCGCTGGCCTTCAACGAGCGGCTGGCGAAAGACTCGGGAGGCCTGCTGGCTCCACTCGTCAAGTGCGACGCCAGATACCTGACGGTATGCTGCAGCCACACCGTAGCGGGTTTGAGGGCTGTGGAGAACCGCTGCCGCACTCACGTCACTGAGTTCGCCATCGACGGGCGCCTGGGCAGGGAGAAGATCGTGGCCAAGAACAAGGCGTACGGCGACGCAATGGACTCTGGCCTCAAGTGGCTTGCGATCAGGTGGCAGGTGGCAGATTCATGCCCGACCTTGCCCGAATTCCTTGCAGACGCTGGAAACCTCGCGCGCTGTTCGCATCGTGTCAAGACCATGACGCAGGCCATGACGCAGTGCTACTAGAATATGCAGAGTAACTACTCGACTTGCGGCAACTACAACAAGGATACCGTTGCCAGGAGGGTGGAGAAATCGCCCCCCCCCCCCCCCCCCCCCCCCACTTGAAGGACAAGGTGCTGGAGACGCGCAACTACATCGAGAAGTGGGCAGGCGGTATCCCGCCCAAATACTTGCAGGACTTGAGCAACTGGAGCAAAACCTTGAGCTTCCGTCGTGAGGTGGGCGCTTCAACGTTTAAGCAGCTCGCGGCCGTCGGCCTGCCACTGTATCCCGAGTACCCTACAGCAGCACTCAAAGCTTCTATGGTGGCGCCAGATAACTTCATATCTGGAGGAGTTGCGAAGCTTCTGAATTCCCAGGACTACTCCAACATGACGGGGAAGCTTCGTGGTCAAGTGGTGCAGGCAGTTACTTACTGGCGGGAAGCCAAGCGGTGGGTCGACAACCTCGAAGGCTCCACGCTGACGGCGTCGACCATCTACAAGTTGCTGGGCGATTTCGAGGTGGGGTGCGCGCTGGCGATCCACGCTGAGAAGGGCAAGCATCGCATGCTATTCTCGGATGTCAACGCCTGCGCGAGGGATCTTTTGAGCGACGTGATCAAGATCTTCCCAGGCGCTGCGAAGCAGACGCCTACCTTCGGGTTGAAGCGCGAGGCCCCTGCAGCTGCTGCCTCTTCTTCGGCTTCCAGCGGCGCTCAGCCTATCCGCCAATGCAACAGCGACGGCACCCCCCCCCCCCCCCCCCTCAACGCCGAGAGCCTCGGCTTCAAGGCCGGCCTGGAGATCGAGCTCACGAGCCCGCTGTCCAATCAGGAAGGGCAAGGTCTACGTCATCAACAAGATGAAGGGTGACAAGATTACCGCGCGCGACTCAAAGGCGAAGTCCAAGACAGACGACGACGACTCTATGACTGTCCCCGACGGCAACTCGCTCGACACCAACCTCAAGGATGTCCTCGAGCACTTCCAGGTGATAGGGTTGAGCAACCAAAAGGAACATAGCGCTGAGGAGGAGGAAGAGGAGGAGGAGGCGCGACGAGGATGGGAGGAGGACGAAGAGGAGGAGGAGGAGGAGGATCAGGAGGAGGAGGAGGAGGAAGGAAGGATGAAGGAGGAAGAGGAGGAGGAGGAAGGGGAGGAGGAGGAGAAGGAGGAGGAGGATTCTTAGAGACAGAGAGACAGCGCGCGTCCCAGGTGGTCAAGCCGAAGCAGATGTCCGAGCTGGAGATTTCGCCCGCCTCGACGTCCGTTCTGGACCTCCTCCTCCTCCTCCTCCCCCTCCTTCTTCCTCCTCCTCCTCCTCGCTCATCCTCCTCCTCCTCTCCTCGTCCTCTTCTTCCTCCTCCTCCTCCTCGCTCCTCCTCGCTCCTCCTCCTCCTCCTCCTTCTCCACCTCCCCTTCCGTCGTCTCTCGCGCCCTGATCGCCGCCCCTGCTTGCCCGCAGGACCACGGTGACATCGCCCTGGCCCGCTCGATGTCGAAGTTCACTCAGTCCCTGATGTCTGCCTATGAACTGTTCCAGAAGACTGTGCATGTCAACATCGTTCACGTTAAGAACTCTGTTTCGGAAGTGAGTGCGCGCAGGAACTATAACAAGGGTGAGCTAGTCCTGATCCCTCTCGCCGCTAAGGTGACGATCGGCAATGAGATCCCATCGAACGGAGTGCCTGTCCCTGTCCTTGAGGGCCTTCCTCCATACCAGCGTGCATATATGGTCCCGAAGGTGGACATCCCTAAGTTCGCACCTCTTTTTTTTTTTGCGTTCCAGCTAGCCCCCAGCCGAACCTTGTTTTTTGCCAAATGCAAGGTCGAGTGCAGCGCCGTCCCATCAAACGCTGACAAGCGACCAGCCCCTTCGGAGGTCGAGGTCCCGTGCTTGTACAATGACAAGCCACTGAAGAAGGGCGTTCCGCCCCGCGACCCTCGAGTTTCCGACCGCCGACAAAGGTGGCAAGAGGGCTTCGAGTGATACGCCTCTAAAGAAGAAAGCCAAGGCCTGATCAGGCCTGAGCCCGCCACCCCCCCCCCCCCTCGAAAAGCATCAGCGAACAGAACCATTTACTCAAAGTTCTCTCTTCTTCGGAATAAGCGAATTTGATGCGTGACGTCTGTGGCCTCCTGTGAAACTTTGTGTGTCTGCGCTGGCCTGCAGCGGCTCGCGCTCGAGCATCAAGCAGCCTGAATCATCCGATGCGTTTGCATCTTTCTTGGGCTGGAGGCATCTAGCTCTTGCGCCGCGGCTGCGAGTGCAGCTCGATGTGGAAATAGAGCCCCAGAGATGGCGACGGTCGAGGGGGGCGATCAGGAGGGGTGAGTTGTGTGTGCGTGGGGGGGGGGGGGGGAGAAAGAGAGAGAGAGAGAGAGAGAGAGAGAGGAGAGAGAGGAGAGAGAGAGGAGAGAGAGAGAGAGAAGAGAGAGAGAGAGAGGAGAGAGAGAGAGAGGAGAGAGAGAGAGAGAGAGAGAGAGAGAGAGGAGAGAGAGAGAGAGAGAGAGAGAGAGAGCGAGAGCGAGAGCGAGAGCGAGAGCGAGAGCGAGAGCGAGAGCGAGAGCGAGAGCGAGAGCGAGAGTGAGACAGACAGAGACAGAGACAGAGGCAGAAACAGAGACAGAGACAGAGGATGGGGGAGGGGGGAAGAAGAGGGGGGGGAGGGGGGGAGAAAGGGAGGGAGGGAGGGAGGGAGCGTGATATATATATATATATATATATAAAGAGAAAACAAACAAGAGGGCAAGGAAGATAAGGATGGAGGAGGGGGGCCACCCTTGACGAGAGAGCCCGTTTCCTTTTGACAACCACTCGGTAGTTGCGAAGACGCGGAAGGGGGGGGGCGGGAAGAGGAGGGCGAGGAGATGAAGACGGGGGATGGCGAGGAGGGCGAA